CTCTACCATCAGAAGAAATTTCTTTAGTACCTCTAAGCCACTTTGCTTGTTCTGAAGTTTCAAAAGTAGCATTGAGTTACATTAAATTTGCCCACACACTACCATATATATCTGAAATTAAGCTTTGAAAATTTCTAAGACTATTGCTATTTAATTATCTAATGTCATTTTTATGAGCCAGACCAACGTTTTAATTTTTTTTTAGGCTACCCAGTTCAAAATTGAAACTCTTTAATTTTTTTATTTTTTTTATCCCAAGTATTTAAGTTTTCTAGCATGAACTATCTGAAATCAAACTAAACAATTGCTTAAACCCAACTTTTAACTGCAAGATAGTGCAATGCTTTAGAAACCCATTCAGATACCAGATTGTTACAATAAAAATTATTATTATTATTTTTTTTGACACACATTTAACCTAGATTATCCCTAAGAAACAATCAGACAACCAGATAAGAAAATCTCTCTCCAGGTTTTGAACTTTCATTTAATTATGGCTCCCATCAGTGGCACCATAGACTTTCCCATGAGTGGACCAGATGTTTTCACGTAGGGGCAACTATAGGTGTAAAATCAAGGGTCTCAGTGTGACTGGCTTTACTGCATTCAGTGTCCCTTCTTTTTAAGTAAACAGAGGTGGCGTAATCCTTAAGATGTAGATAAGGACCCAGGGAACTCCCCAGAGCTAAATGGCTCTGGCAGCTGCTGGGAGTCCCTTAATCCTATCTTTCACCCATAGGATCAGTTCCTCCAGTTTGGTTTGACCTTAGGCATTAGGCATTTTTTTTTTTTTAACTTTTTAGTAGCCAGCTCCCAAAAAGTCCATCCTCTGCTTGCAGTTGTTTCGAGTGCTAGGCTTCCCCAAGAAAGCAGAGTGGGGACTCCTTAAAAGTCCCCTTGAGAGTGTCAAAATTTGTGACTGAAAATTTGGTTCCCAGCTCTAAAGCCAATTAACACCAATTTAATAATGAGGACAGGGCTTTGAGAAAAGTCAAAGCGAGATGTCAAAGTTATTAAATCCCCAGCAGGCATCTCTATTTGCACTCAAGCCGGTTATGGGGGGGGGGGAGAAAACATTGCTTCTCTAGTCTCAGTATTCAGCCTTAGATGGAATTTATCATCCGCCTTGGGCTGCATTTCCAAGCAGCCCGATTCCAGGAAGACCCGTTTGCTTCCTTGGCCCTGTGATAACACTTGGGAGGTTTGGGGACCCGTTCCCTTCTACCCCCACGAGGGAGGGAGAGGGCCGGGTGCCCCTGAGCCGCTTTTTTTTTTTCTTCTTAACTTTTAATTAATGGTTGTCTGCCCGATTTCGGACGTCCTGCCAATGGTCAAGGGTGAGACTCAAAGGAGTTGTTATGGATTGCCCCATGTTAGTCTTAGATGGAGTGAGAAAGTGCAAAGGCAAGAAGACCGACACAAATATCAGACTGGACACGGAGAACGCTGCGCGGCTCGAGCACAAACCGAACGTACCTGACGGATTAGGGAGAGGAGGGATACCGTCACCTCCGTCACCCACGAGTACAGTGTACTCTACAGAACATTGGAGGCCCCCCCCAAGATGGGCCTCCCTGAGCCCCTGGGACGTCTCCCAGGGTGGCAGGGGAGAAGTCCGAGTTCGTCAACTCCTTCTCAAGCTGCCCAGAATACAGAGCGATTACGCGTAATCGTACAGACGCTGCGCATGAACAGATAACAAGATAACAACCAGACAGAGAGAGACACAAAATGACACGAACTGGCCTAAAGTTATTGGGCTGGGGTCTTTCATTATAATTCTAGAGACTCTAAATGTAAAGAATTATTAAGATGATTAATGGGATATGTTGTTAAGTTCAGTTCTCTCCCATGGGGAAAGTGCTTTTGTGGACTTTTGGGGATTGTTTTTGTGAATTTTTATAATTTGAAATATTAGGTAAAGATTGGGGGGGGCAGTTATATATTAGAAGTCTGTGCTTGGAGAGTGAGAAAAGGGGAAGGAAGATTTTGTGATGAGACTTGATACAAGGATTCTTTACCTGTAGAGGAGTGAATGTTATTTTTGTGAATGCTCTGAAGGTTTATACTGAACCTCTTTGCTACATTCTTGTCCTACTGAATCAGAATGGCTGGAACTCACCCACTGTGGACAAAAGACTTTAGCTGCTGTTCCCTGTGGTGTCTGTAACTAGACTCACCACCAGCAGTGCTTTTAACCCTTAAGCAACCTGGCCTGGGTGCCAAATGAAGACTGCCCTAAAATCTGAGAGAAACACTGGTGTCACTTTTTTTTAAAAGAGAGAGAGAGAGAGAGAGAGAGAGAATTTTTTAATATTTATTTTTAGTTTTCGGTAGACACAATATCTTTATTTCATTTTTATGTGGTGCTGAGGATGGAACCCAGCACCCAGTGCTTGCCAGGCGAGTGCACCACCCCTTGAGCCACATCCCCAGCCCCTAAAACTCACTTTTAAAGTCCTCCATGCTACAAGGAAAAGTACAAAACACAGGCGAATACAAGCTGCAAGCGCAGGTCGCAGAGACAAGGCAAGGTGCTACCCGTCCCTAGGATCCTGCCTAGGCCGGAGATAGAGACAAATCTAACAGAATCCCACCAGCTAGGGGAGCTCAGGGAAACTTTGCCTGACTGTGGGCAGCAGGCTCCATGCTGTTTCCGTCACCATGGTAACCACTGGGAGCCTGGCAGAGCCGGCTTCCTGGTCCCGCCTCCCACATTTCAGTTATTTTTGAATTAAATAATCTGACTTTTCTCTGTGGTTATGTTACTAAATAATGCTATTGATGGGAGGTTTCCAACTATGCTTTTTTATATTTTGCTTTTAATTTTGAAGGTTATGGGGGTGCACTTGCTTGTCGCAGGAACAAAAGCCAGCAATGTTCCTGTGATGAACATAAGACCCTTACCCTCATTCCTGACTAAGTAATTACAAAAAATAAAATATACATAAGGGTCTTATTTCAGCTACATCATGTGACATCACACATTTATTTATGCACTCCTAGTTAAAAATAAATTGAAATGGATCCAAATATCTTAAGAACCTCGTGGTTACATAAAGTTAATACAATTATAAGTTATGCCCTGATTATTAATATATTTTTCTAGGTACTTGGATAGCCTATAGTTCTTAATTCATAAAATGATTAGCATATATGTCTAATTGTTTAGCTAATATATACTTATCTAATTGCTTTTCTTCAACAGAAAACACATAATTTATATACTTCTTATACATGTATTTATCTGATGTTGTGCCTTAGCTCCTCTGCTTCTGTTTACAGATATTCTAGATACAGACATTTTAGATAAATATATTTTACTATAAATTTGCTTTCAAGAGAGAATACAACCTTCAAGTAATCTCTAGTTCTCAAAGTTATCATACAAGATTTAAAAAACTTTTTTATTTTAGTTGTTGTTGGACACAATACTTCCATTTTTTAATGTTTTTAGGTGGTGCTGAGGATTGAACCCAGCGCACTGCACATGCTAGGTGAGCGCTCTACCGCTGAGCCACAACCCCAGCTTCTGTAAAAACTTTTATAAGATTATAAACAAATATAACTCTATCTTCAGAAATACTCAAGGGCTTTAACTATTTTTTCATTAATATTTCTTCTTATCAAAGTACAAAAATTTGTTTAGATTCTAAGGTTTTAACAAATTAAAGTATAACCAGGAAAAATTCTAAAAGGAAAAGATTCTTTAGCAGAGAGGAAGCACACATTGGAGGTCCTAAGAAGAATCAAAAAAACATCTTTGGGTGAAACAAGGTCTTTACATTCTAGATTTTAATGATAAAAGTATTTTCCTAAACCAGAAAATCTTTATATCATTATCTAGACAGATGATATAAAAAGTTAAAACTATTAAAAAGAGATTTATATGTACTGTACTGACTATCAAAATTTTACCTGATTAATTCAAGAATATTTCAGGCTATTTCCCTAATTTTACTATGCCAATGTGAGCTAACATTTTGTCCATATCTTGACATGATAAAAACCTATTAAAATGTTTTTATTTCCTTTAAGGGAGGTCTTTATTGCCTGATGATTCTTACTGTTTAATGTGATAAAAAAAATAAATTAAAAAAAGACAAATCCTGTAACAAGGCCTCTGGCCCTGAGCTGGAGCCTCACTGAGATGGCTACATCTCTGAGGTGAGAGAAGTTACCAATCAGGCTCCATGGTAAGAGCTGGAAGGGGAAGAAGGGAGGGGAGAAGCAGCTCCCCCATTCTCAGTCACTATCCTTGAAGGGTTAACTTGCCCAGAACAGTGAAAGACAAAGCTGCTTTTGTGTGAACTTCTGCAGACTGGGAACTTCTGAGCCCCTCCCCTTACATGCTGGGTATAGAGTTCTGAAACTACCTGAACTCAAAGTTCAGGGGGATTGATTGATTACACCAAAAGCTGTGCCCTCTGAACCTGGCTATAGCCAAAGAAAATCTGCTTCCTGTTTGGTGTCTTGCCTGGTGTGTGCCCTGAAGCACTTCCTTTCCAGACAAATGGAGCCACCTTTAGCCATGATTTCTAGCTTCACACCAACCTCAGTGGACAGTCCAAGAGTTAGTCCCATTACTCCTTTTTCTTGATATGTCTTCCCACTAACTCCTCTGCTTCTGTTTATTTCTACAAATTAACTACCACCTTGGCTTTCTCATCTACTTTGGGAGTAGTTGAAAGAACTCTTGGGACCTTGCCTGCATTTCACTGCTCATTGCTAGCTACTACCTAACACCTGCACCCCAGCCCTGCACTCCACCAGGCCAAGCGCTGCTGCAGCCAGGGGCCAGGTGGGCAGGGCTGCAGACATGTGCAGCTGCAGAGGCTGGGAAATTCACTCATGAGCCCAACAGAAGCCCAGAAACAGCCCACTGCAGAGGTCTCTGGGAAGTGAGGTGTTTGAGACAGAGTGACTTAGCCAGAGGCTGCCCCATTTTCAGATCATGGTTTTTCAGAAAAGAAATTAAAGCTGGATGCGGTAGCACACACCTGAAATCCCAGTGGCTCTGGAGGCTGAGGCAGGAGGATCACAAGTTCAAGGTTAGTCTCAGCAATTTACTCAGACCCTAAGCAACTTGGCAAGACCCTGCCTCAAAATAGAAACTGAACAGGGCTGGGTTGTGGCTCAGTTGTTAAGCACCTCTGAGTTCAACACCTGGTGGGAAAAAACAAAACAAAACAGTTGAATCTCAGCCCATGGTGACCACTGTCAAGGGGAGGAGCACTTACTTCAGATCAAACCCTCTGGTGATTCTGGGAATGCAGGCTTCAGCCCCTGCCTTGGGGCATTGTAACTAATTCTAAATAATTCATTCTAGATGATTCAGCTCTAGTCATGGATGCCCCTGGGAGCTGCAGGCTACACATTCATTCAGAATGCCCAGGGATTCTTGACAGTGAAATCTGGTGTTCTGCCCCCACACTGTAACCACAGAGGACCTGAGAGTTGTGTGCCACGTGCTGGTCCAGGCACCCTGGAGGGCCCTGGCAGGGTCACCTGGTGTCCTGCCCACACACCCTAACCACAGAGGACCTGAGAGCTGTGTGCCACATGCTGGTCCAGGCACCTGGAGGACCCTGGCAGTGTCACCTGGTGTCCTGCCCACACACCCTAGCCACAGAGGACCTGAGAGCTGTGTGCCACATGCTAGCACCTGGAGGGCCCTGGCAGTGTAGTCAGGTGTTTTGGCCATCCAGGCCTCACCACAGAAGCCTACAGAGGCTGCAAGTAGCACATACTCCAGGATTCTGGCCAGTGCAGTCCAGAATTCTACAATGTGGCCCTCATTGCAGAAGTTTCTGTACGCTGCTACACGGGGGCCCCTAGGGATACTGGGAAGTATATTCAGCCCATGCAGCCCTCACCATAGAGGCTCCTGGGAGCTGCAGGCCCCCAAGCACCAGGGACATTGTAGTGTGGTGCTCTGTTGATGCAGACCACATTACAGTGGCACCTTAGAACTCTGAGCCCCCAGGAATTCTGGGCATTGTAGTCCGTACTACTCAGGCAGCCCTGAGCTCAGAGGTCTGTAGGCCATTGATTATTCTGGGTAATGCAGTCCATGCTATCTAAGTGGACCTCACCATCAAGGCTCCGGGGATCTGCCTGGACACCCCAGATGCTTTTCCCTGAAGCCCTGGACAGGAAGGTGTCTGGGCGCTCCAGGGCTCAGGGATTCTGGGCAGTGTAGTCTGGCCTTCTGCACAGCCCTCACTGTGAAGGCCTCTGGGAGTTGCAGGCTGCACACTCACCTGGACAACACCTCCCCAAAAGGATTCCAGGTAGTATAGTTAACTTCTCTGCCTCCCGTTCTCACCACAGAGGATCCTTAGAGCTACAGCCCTTGAGGGTAGTGAGTCACGTAGTTCTGCCCACTCACATCAGAGGGTTCTGGGAGCTAAATTCCCCCTTAGGGTTGTGGGTACTTCAGTCCAGGGCTTGCTCAGTCACCAAAGAGGGTTCTGGGAGCTGCAGCCCCTGAGGATTGTGGGTAATGTAGTGCAGCTCAGTTACTACAAAGGATCCTGGGAGCTGCAGCCCCTGAGGGTTCTGGGTAAGATAGGGTAGGTTTGGCCTGCACAGCCCTGCTGGGAGGACCACAGGAGCTGCAGACCCCATGCTTTCCCTGGTCCCCTAGAGATTCCAGGTAGTGCTCTACCCACACAACCCTCACCACAGAAACTCTGGGAGTTACAGGGTTTGCAGGGATCCCCAGGGATTCTGAGCACTGAAGCCTGGTATTCTGCCCTTGCAGCCCTGCCCCCAGAGGTTCCTAAGAACAGCAGGCATCCAAGGGTAATGGGTAGCACAATTTGTCATTTTGTCAGTACAGCCATCACTCCAGAGGTCCCTGCAAGCCGCAGGTCCCCGAGGGTGATGGATACTGCCGTCTGTCATTTGACCTATGCTGCCCTCACTGCAGAGGGCTCTGGTGACAGCAGGCCCTGAAGGATTCTAGGTAGGGCAGCCATCATAACCTTCGCAGCTCTCACCCCAGAGTCTCCTGGGAGCTGCTGGCTGCATTCTCACAAAGCACCCCGGGGACTCTGGGCAGTGCAGTCCAGCATTCTGCTGCTCACACCCACCAAGGCATCTGGAAGCTTTGGGCCACGCGCTGGCCCTGGTACACTGAGGATTCTGGGTAGCATATCCCAGCGACTGCCCACCCAGCCAAGAATCCTCCACAAAGGCCTCTGGGATCTGCAGGCCACACAGTTGCCAGGAGCCCCCATTATTCTGGGTAGAACTGGTGTGTCATGCAATTCTCACCAGGGGCTCCTGGGAACTGTGGGCCCCGAGGATTCTAGGCACTGCTGTCCAGCATTCTGCCCACAGGCCCCTCAGTGTGTGGCCGCTAGGAGCTACTGGCCCTGGTACCCCAAGTATTATGGGTACTTCAGCCAAGAAACTGCCCACGCAGCCATCCCCACTGTGGGACTGGTCAGAGGGCCCACCCCACTAGAACAGACTCACCCAGCAAACCCCAGCATCATCCGGTTTCTTCTAAAAAATTGTGGTCACGTAATGGAAAGTCTTTAATACAGCCACAGTTGAAAACAATCATAATTCTTTAATATCTAATACCTAACTGATACACAGATTTCTCCAGCTATTTCCAATAAATTTTAGACAATGACAAATGAGGTTCTAATAGGAGCATGCAGTACACTGGATTAATACATCTGAAGTCCTTTACTTGTGGTTAATTTACACTGTAGATCTTCAAGTCTGTGTTTTGCTTCTTCATTTGGTTTCATCTCAGAGTGCCTGGGATGGAGTACTCCACCCCTGATCTATAACCCCACCACAAGGTTCTTCTTGTAACCGACACAAATGCAATATTTACACTTAATGTAACTTTGAATTTTAACACATCGACTTCTCAATATTTCTCAAGTACTTAAACCTATAAGAAAATTTACTCATTAAAACATGAATAAGAGCAAGCAATGAGGTGCACATTAGCCCTTCCCCTCAGGCCCCAGTGGGACTCCAGGCGCTGGGCCTCCCTGCACCATCTTGAGTGGCCATCTGGGTTTCTCCTGTGCCCTTGGATTTCTCCCCAAAATACACTCAGGCCACACAAAACACACTGAAGTGACATAATGATGAGCAGCCAAACCCTCAGTGAGGAATACTGTTGTAAAGGAAGTTCTGCTGAAATATTACCTGGGAAAGCAAAGGACATGGCAGAACTTCTTCCTCAGCACACAGGCAGTGCCCAGGAAGCTTCTTCCTCATGTTTTCCTCACCTGGACCTCGGTCATCCTGAATCCACAGTGGAGTCTCCATTGCCAAGGAGAAGGAAGCCCTGGTCCTCACCACAGACATATCCCCCAGGCATCCCCAGGCCATGGTGTCTCCCCAAGAGGGTCCCCAGGATAAGGAAGCCCTGGACCCCACCTTAGACAGAGCCCCCAGGCATCCCCAGGTCATGATGTCTCCCCAAGAGGGTCCCCATGATAAGGAAGCCCTGGTCCCCACCTTAGACAGAGCCCCCAGGCAGCCCCAGGTCATGATGTCTCTCCATGTGGGTCCCCAGGAGAAGGAAGCCCTGGTCCCCACCTTAGACAGAGCCCCCAGGCATCCCCAGGTCATGATGTCTCCCCAAGAGAGTCCCCAGGGTAATGAACCTCTGCTGCCCACCTTAGGGCCCCCAGGCATCCCCAGATGTGGCATTTCCCACGTGGGTCCCCAGGAGAAGGAAACTTGCTATATGTAGGCAACACAGGAATTACTGGAATTTGAATTCTAAAAAAAATAGCACTCCTGAAATACTGAAAGGTTACTCTGACAACACATATACAAGTATGCATTCAGAGAACTTTGAACATGGTTGAAAGGAATGAAAAGAAAGATAAATAAATGCAGTGATTTTCCTTGCTCAGGATCAATTCAACCATTAATGTTAGGGAGATACTTCTTTCTAATTTGATCTTTAGATGCAGCAGAATCCCAATCCCAGCACCACAGAAGATACCTACAAATGCTGAGCCTAGAAGATATGGCAAAGGAGTGATCAAAAATAGCTCAAAAGGGGGCTGAGATTGTGGCTCAGTGGCAGAGAACCTGCCTCGCACATGTGAAGCACTGGGTTGGATCCTCAGCACTACACAAAAATAAACAAACAAAATAAAGAGATTTTAAAAAATAGTTCAAGACTCTGCACATCTGGTTACAGCTCTTATCATAAAGCTTCAGTGATCCCAGAGTGTGGCAGTGGGAAAGGCATTGGAAATAGACAAAAGGAACAGAAGAATGAGCTCAGAAAGACCCATGTAAAACCAGTCAAGTGTCCTCTCAAAGGGACAAAGGCCACTCGATGGAGAGAAAAAAATCTGTAACCATGAATGGCTGCAGAACAGTTGTGAAAATAAAAATGAAATACGTGAAACTCGAACGCAATCTTTACGGCTTACCCAAAAAGCTACTCAAAATAATCCATAAAGTCCAATTTTCAAGTGCAAAATTATAAAGTTTATAGAAAAAAATCTGCATAGACTTGTGTCTTATAAATAGGAGGAATCAGACCCAGGAAAGACACCCTTTGGAGTCTGGAGCTCTGCTGCCAAACCCAGGAAACTAGAGCGGCTGCAGGGAGACCATCCCGGGGAATGCGGCCGACACCTCAATTCCAGAGCTCTGCACTTCAGAGTCTGAGGTCACAAGTCTCTGTGTGTCTAAGCTACCCAGTTGGTGGCACTTTGCTAGGCAGCCCTAGGAGAATGACACAGGCACATTCGGCTCCACCCTCTGCAGATACCTGTCTCCCCAAGGTCACCCCACATAGGGAGGGGGCAGGAGCAGGGCACCTCACAGGCCCTCACCACTGCCAGGTGGTCACTTCCCGCACTGACTGTCTGGGCACTCTGGCCTCAGCTTTCAACCTCCTGGGGCCAGTGGAGGATGAGGACAAGGAGCGGTAAGAGGTCAGCCTTCCTGGGACTGGACACTGAGCCTCCACCTTGCTGTCCCTGGGCCCCAGAAAGCACAGAACTAGACCAATCCCACCCCTTACATGTCCTTCAGCCCCACCTCCCAGCCATCCACAGCTTGTAACACCAAAGATGTCCCTTTTAATCTCAGGAGGCAAAGGAGAGGACGTTCCACCTGGTCAAGGCATCTCACCTGTGTCCACTGGGCCCAAGCTGGCCCTTTAAAGGGGTGAGGGAAGAACAGCCCGGGGGTCAAACAAGACAGAAAGGGGAGAGGGGAATGGGGGGGCTGGTTGTCAGGACCCTGAGGGTGGATATGTCTCCCCACAGAGGCCCAGTGCAGGCGCTGAAGAGGGACCTCCTGCCTCCACCCAGGGCATCTGATAACTGCATAGGCACCTCAGGAGGCCCAGTCCCAGCCAAGAGGCAGCTCCAGGGACTTAGTGCATTTTCCCAAAATGGTCATGATGCAGCTTGCTGAGTCAGGATTCTGACGTTCAGGACTAGCACACTGCCTGTTCAGCACAGGAGGAGCAAAAGGCCCTTCACAGCCCAGGCCTCCAACTGTGCCTCCCTTACAGGCATCTCCTTTGTGGGACACCAGGCCCTGCTGGCCACAGAAAAGGCCACAGGCCAACACAGGGATGGCTAGGGACTCTGTGTGTTTCCTGGGGGGCTGAGGACGGGCACTCCCCATAGCAGCCAAAGGCAGAGCAGTCACTGCCTCTGCCCTCTAGAGTCTGGGGTGGGGGGGCTTCCTGGTGGGGCATGCATGAGCCCAGTCCTCCTGAGGCAGGTAGGAAGATGGTGTTCCCCCAAGTCCACACACCCTGCTGGAAGCAAATCCTCTGAGCTCAGGGACTCAGCTCAGTTTGTGCCTCATGTGCAACACCCCCACCTCCACCTCGTCCCCCAAAACAACTGCCTGAGGAAAGCTCAAGGCTTCCAAGAAAACTTACTCTGTCCTGGCCCACACCTGGCGACAGGCCCCAACCTCCCTTTCTCCGGTCATTTAATAGAAAGGACTTGCAATTGACAACATGCATCTCTTGCAACGCAGAGGGGCTCAGAGCCTGAGGGCCATTACCTCGAAATACAATCATCCAGCAGGACAGGTTCTCTCTCCCAGTCTCTGGGGGAAGACAGAATTCTTATACCACTGCCACCAACACAGCTGGCCTAACTGCATTCACAACGACTGACTCCACTTCTTACTTCACCAAGTCCCAAGCTGAACTCTTCCCTCCTTCCCCCTTTATTATGCCCAAATTACCTCTGTGCAGACCATAATGGAACTTGGCTCTTTCCTCCACCTTCAGTAGCTACCTAGTGAGATCTGACTCACTGCTACATCTGATGTCCAGCTGTACCCATCAGTAACATCACAGACGTGGACATCATCTGATGTCCAGCTGTACCCATCGGTGACATCACAGACGTGGACATCATCTGATGTCCAGTTGTGCCCATCAGTGACATCACAGATGTGGACATCGTCTGATGTCCAGTTGTGCCCATCGGTGACATCACAGACGTGGACGTTCAGGAGAAAGCGTCAAAGAGACCACCTTCCTAAGCGCCATCCTATGCACTAAGCCCCTCCAAGCACAGCTGCAGCCCGTGGAGCAGGCAGAGAAA